TTTTTGGTGGAACTGGGGATTGAACTCAGACTCTTGTGCTTGCCAGGGAATCACTTATTCTACTGAGCCATCTCCCCAGCCCTTATAATTTTTATTTCGACAATCACAAACATACTTTTTGTTTATATGGACGAATGGTTTCCTGTCTGGCAGACTCCTGTGTGCCCACAACGTATGTGATCACTTGCACCTCCAGCCCCCGCCTAGTTCACAGCTGGGCTTCATGTGTGCTTTGCTCGTGTTTCCAGTGTCCACCCTTAGGCCTCTGTCCCTCCCTCTTTTGCCTTCTGCTGGTCTGGCCCAGCCTCCCTTCTACCCCCTTGTCGTCTCTCCTCGTGTCCACACAGGGTGAACATGTGATCCTCACCTTTCCGATTGGCTCCCCACTAAATGCTCTCAGATCACTTTCTTGCTGAAGTCAGAAGTTCACCCTTCCTTATGTTCTTATGGCTGAATAATATTTCATTGTACAGATTACATACCAATTTTTCTACCCATTCATCTACTGGCATCACTGATGGGCGTTTTTGCTACTGCGAATTGTATCCAGTGCACATGGGTATGCAGGTACCGGCAGCCAGTTCTAATGCTTCACACTATACCTGAAGTGGTACGGCTGGATCAAGCGGTAGCATTGTTCACTGAGCTTACTGAGGTGCCTCCACACTGAGTTCACAGTGGCCGTACTAATTTACACTTCTACCAACAGTAAAGGTGACCCATGTGCTTTGATGACAGCCATTCTGAGTGGGGTGAGATGGAATCTTGATGTATTTAAATTTGCTTTTCATTGTCTTCACCCCAACCCCCCTTTTGAGACAGTGTCTTGCTATGTAGCCTAGGTTGTCCTTGAATTCCCACCAGTCCTCATCTCAGCCTTGGCTGGGAGGAGGGGATCACAGGTGTGGGCCACCATGACTGACTAGGATGTAGTTGTTTTCACTGTTATTTTTAGGCATGGTCTCCCAGCGTAGTGCAGGCTGGCCTTGAACTTGATTAAGTATCCCGGGCTGGCTTTGAACTCACCGTGATTCTCCTGCCTCAGCCTCCTGAGTGCTGGGTTTATAGGCATGCACCTCACACCTGGCCCTTTTCCTTTTTGAAAAAATTGGCAAGGTAACCCAGGGCCTTGCCATGATAGGTTAAGTACTTCAGGGCTGGCTACTGAATGCTTTTTGTTGTTGGCTGCAGTGGGGATCCAGCCCAGGGCCTTTACAATAAGCTACATCCCCCCAGTCCTTTTCATTTTTTATTTTGAAATAGAGTCTCAGTAGATCATTAAACTGTCTAGACTGTGCTCCTATTTGGGGTCCATTGCTTCAGCTTCCCAGAGTGCTGGGATCACAGACCAATTATAGCCTGAACTGGTGCTGATGGACCACTCTGCTCCATTAACCAGACTGAGTAATGCCCTAGGGCCAACCTCCAACCTTTGTCTTAAAGCCCATACCAGAGGTACAGATGACACAAGTTTGCCAGGTGTTCCTTTATGATATATATATATATATATATATATATTTTTTTTTTTTTTTTTTTTTTTTCCCCCCCAGAACCAGGGATTGAACTCAGGCCCTTGTGCAAGGAGATAGCTCTACTGAGCTATCTCCTTGGCCCCATTCATGGCCTATAGTAACCTTCCTTTCTCAGAGCTCATTGAAGGCTCTCATGCATATGGACTGCATTTCATACATCTAATTATAGCAGAGTGAATCATGGGAAAGGATCTGCAAGGGAGAAACAGCTGATAGGACTCATTGCCTTATCAATCACGCCCTGGGAGGGAGGGTCCCCGTGCTGTCAAGTATTTGTGCTATTTCCCTTTCTTGCTGGTTATGGTGGTGCATGCCTATAATCCCAGGCAGGATGGCCGCAAAGTGAATTCATGTGCAGCCTGTCTCAAAATCAAGATTCTGTTTCAAAAAAAACAGAAAAAAAACAAAACAACGACCACAAAAACCACTGAGGTACTGGGGATTGAACCCAGGGCCTTTGCCCTAAGCTAAATCCCTAGCCCTATCATTTTGAGACAAGGTCTTGCTAAATTCCCCAGGCTGGCTTGCACTTGGGATCTTCCTTCCTCAGCCTCCCAGAGTGCTGTGACTATAGATGTGCTGCCCCATCCAGCTACGGGACATTTTTGTTAAGATGGCAACCGATAACTGCTAAACTGCTTAAGATGCCTCTCAAAATTCTACTTTATCCATTCACTCTGGAAGACTCACTGAAGCTCAGAATTTCTAATCTCTTTATCAGTATTCCATAAAACTGACTATTCTGGCCTTTGAGGCTAAAATGTGCACCTGTCAGTCATTTTTAATTTTAATCTTTTAATCCAGTGGCCCTCAAACTTTATAGCACCAGGGACAAGTTTCTTTTTTTCTTTGCTTTGCCTTTTAGTATTTTAGGAAAAGGTCTACAGGGTGTTCAGGGTCTCACTACTAGATTGGACTCGTAGTGATCCGCCTGTTTATAGCCTCCCAAGAGCTGGGATTACAGGCATGCGCCACCATGCCCAGTCTCAATTGCAGTCTCAGTGCACCCCGGGGGCAGGGCTGGCACGGCAGGCCTGGGGATCGAACCACCTGGCCCCTGTGCCAGCTTGCAGGCGCTTTAATCTGTCGAGCTATTTGGCCAGCCCTGGGCCAGTTTTAAGAAGAGAATTTTTCTGGTTTCAGGATTAGATTCTCCCAAGGAGCAGCCCCTAGATCCTGCGCATGTGCAGTTGGCAGTGAGCAGCTGAAGTGGTAGCATGGAGATGTGGTCAGCTGTGAATACAGCCGGAAGCAGGCTGGGGCAGCCCCAAGCTCACCTCCAGCTATGTGTCCCCAGTGCTAGCCAGGGCGTGGTGACCCATTTTGACTGAATTAATTTTGGTGCATGAACTCTGAGCTCCCATGAAGGCAGCTTCTTTTTTTTTTGCGGAACCAGGGATTGAACTCAGGCCCTTGCGCTTGTCTCTAAAACAAAAACAGCTGACCCCTAACTACTTTCCATAGTTTACTATCCTTTCCTCATGTCTGGAGCTCTTGCTTGATGCAATCAGAAACCAGCTACATTTGCATGAGTCTAGTGATGTGCATGGGTCCTCTTCACTCCCAGCCTCACTGTGGAGCCTTTTTTTTTTTTTTTTTTTAAAGACAGGGTCTTACTATGTAGTTAAGGCTGGCCTTGAACTCACTATATAGTGAAGGCTGCCCTTGAAATTTTTTTTAATGATTTTTTAAAAAAATTAATTTATTTAGTGATTTAGTGTGTGTGGCCAGTTCAGCCCACCAGGGGGCGGGGCTGGCTGGCATGTGGCGCTGGGGATTGAACTGCAGTCCCTGTGCTTTTCCTTAGCTTACCTTGTTTTAAGTAGGTGCTTTAGACCACTGAGCCATCTCACCAGCCCAACATTTGATAGGTTTTTTTTTTGTGTGTGTGTGGAACCGGGGATTGAACTCAGGCCCTCGTACTTGCCAGGCAAGCGCTTATTCTACTGAGCCATCTCTCCGGCCCTTTTTTTTTTTTTTAATGATTTGATACAGGGTTTCACTACACAGCACAGCTTCAACTTGTAGTGATCCTATTTTCAGCCTCCCCAGTGCTGAGATCACAGCATGCGCCACCACACCTGGTCTGAGTAGCCAGCTCATCATACCCGAGGGCAGGGCTGGTGTGGCATTTGGTGCTGGACAGTAGTCCCTGTGCTTGCCTAAGCAGGCACTTAGTCCACTGAGCTATCTCCCCAGCCCTGGCTGCTCCTGATTTGGGGTGATCCTTTTGCCTCAGCCTCCCTGGTGCTGAGGTTACAACCATTACATACCACCCTGCCTAGCTTGGGGCCATTAGCTGGGAGCAGCTTCTGGAAAAGATTCTAAGCTCCAAAGGAAAAACTGGGGCATAGACAGGGTAGGGACAGGCCCAGAACACAGGGGCGACCCCCTTTCACATTTGGGAATGGCAGGGAAGGAGCTTATCAGAGGCAACAAGCTCAACCAGCTTGTCTAGGCCAAAGCTGAGATGCCAAGGGCGTCAACTGCTGCAGTGGGGCTCATTACGACCATTAAGTCTTCTCTGGCCCTACAAACAGTATGCTAGCCCCGCCCCTTTTAACAGCCCCTCACACCCAGCTCTGGACTCCCAGGGCTTGCACCACCCAGCAGTCCTGGCCAGCAAACCAACCCTCCTGCACACCTCTGGGAGCTCTCACTGGGGCTGAGGACAGAGTCCAACAATTCTGTGTACCTGTGGTGCTAGGATGAACCCAGGGCCTTGGACACACCAGGTAAGCGCTTACCACTGAGCTACAGCCCTAGCCCTCTGTGTGGATGTAATGTGAAAACTCAGATTCATTACCCACTCCCCCACTTCTGCCTCCAAGAAGAACTGAAAGGAGCAGGCACAGTGCAAGCTGTCAGCACACCCAGCACCAATCACACATCAGTGCTGGATAAGTGCTTTCCTTCCAACCACATGAGGAGACAGGGAGTGAGCTGTCCACAGCTACAGCCAGGATCTAGGCCTCAGACTCTGCCATCATCATCTGCTTCTCTTCACCTGGTAGCACTCTGCTTAAGAGTAGTCTAGGATGAGTCATCTTTCCATCCACATATAGAAGAAATACTCAGTGCAGGTATGCTTGTAGATAGATTTCTCTAGATTTATTTGTGTCATGTTATATATAGATATATGTATATACCTTTTTTTTTTTTTAAATACAATCTATATTCCCCTCCCCTTTCCACCAAATGCACAAAAGGGTATAAACCCTTCCAGGGTCGACAACAAGCTCCCCAAGGTGGTCAGAACCAAGAACCATCTGTCACCCTAAAAATTAGCTATCGTTCTTAAGACTCTGGGGTCCTGAGGCAGCAGTGTTCCCAGGACTCATGGGGCAGAAACAAGAAACAACTGTAGTGTGATGGGATTCTGGGGTCAAAGTGCCCAGTGACCTCCCACAAAGGCAGACTAGCTCCCAGGATCCTCAGGGTGAGGCTAAAAGGTGCTGCCCAAGAGGCATGGGTAGGGAGCAGGCATGCAGGGATGGGGGCAGGACACCTGTGGCTTATGCTAAAGACACAGGAAACCCATCTGGACTGCATACCTACCAAGTGACAGAAGTCATGGGGTGGGACACAGGCTGAGCTCTTAAAGAAACAGACGAGAGCATGGCAGGGAGATGGGGCCACAGGACACAGAAGAAAGTAACATAAAACACAAAGTACCACAAAAATGCCCTGTACTGGGTGGCTCCCTCATGAGGCTATGACCTATGCTTGCGGGTGGAGGAGGAGGAATATCAAGAACTAGTATCAGCTGGCCAGGGGCACAGGAAGGCTCTGAGGACTCCTAATGAGGCAGGCGGTTGGGACTCCATTTTTCCAGGGGAGAAACAACAGTCCCTTCAGTTCGACTTGGACCAAATCTTGGCACTCCCTCGGAGCCTGGCAAGGGGGAAAGAGGGGAGAAAGAGAAGATGCAGGGGATCCCCTGGTCCCTGGAGCCTCCCCAACTTGTTACACCATCAAAGGACTAAAACGAGTGGAGTAACCAGGTCGTTACAGTAAAAGCAGGGTACCCCAAAGCTCACCCTTTGCCCTTCGAGGCTTTCTTGCTGGGCTGGCGCTGGTTGGTGCCAGGAGCAGGTTCCCTCAGCTCGGTCAGGTGTTGCTCAGGGTCCTGAGATGTGGCCGCAGCAGCTGCTGCTGTCGTCACTTTAATGGTTTTCTTAAGGTTGGCAACCTGCCAGGAGGAAGGGACCAGGGGATGCTGGGAGGCTCAGCAGCCCCTGTCCCTCCTGTCTGCCTGCTACAGCCACGTCCAAAATCCTCTGCACAGGACATATGTGGGATGCGGCTTACCTCGCTCTCGATCTGCTGCTTCAGGCCCAGCTGCTGCTCCTTGTGCTGGTTGGCACGGCTCACCTGCTCCTCGATGCCTGCTAGCACAACTTCACAGCCCACACACCTGTGGGACCAGTGCAGGAGGCTAGGGTCAGACCCTAAAATACCAGACCTGAAGAGAGCCCTTGTCCAAGACAGAACCTCACGAGAGTGTGCCTGAGTACCAGACACAACCATCTCCCAGCTGTGAGGTGGACCCAAAGGGGAAGACGGGGAGAAGTTTCTGAGGTGACAGTCCAAGGGGGAAAAGGAAGTGGAAACAAAACAGTAGGAGACACTGAAGAAGACAAGTGGTGAATTATGATTAAAGACAGTGAGGGCTGTGGATGTGGCACAAGCCCCCGTGCAGAGGAAAAAAGGACATAATGAAGTCAGAGAGGGACACAAAGTGAAAAAGAACCAGGAAGAGCTGTGAAGTTTATGGACAATGGTGCTACAAGCCAAGAGACTGAGTCTGGCCTATGGCAGATGACCAACCTCCAAGTTAAGATCATCTAAAGAAAGCTGTGCGTGGTGTTTCATGTCTAAAATCCCAGCACACACCAGGCTGAGGCAGGACTGCCACGAGTTACAGGCCAGCATGGGATAATGAGTTTAAAGGCCAGCCTGAACTACATGTGATACTGTCTCAAAACACACACACACACACACACACACACACCAAACTCCTCAAGCACCCCCTCCTTGCTTCCCCAGTTACTGTTGCTGGGAACTGCTCCCCACTCAGGGCCTCCCTTGGAAAGAGCTTACTCCCACCTTCCCCTGGGCTCCATCTCTGGGCCTCGTATTCTTGCACCTAGAAGCACCATGCCCTTTGGGGGGAACAGGCCCAGGACCCAGGCCTCACCACTCCTGCAGGGTGCGAGCAATGGCACTGAGGTCCTGGCGCTGGATGTCTCGGCCGATGCTGTAGTCAACCTCCAGTCGCTGATTGCGCTGGTCCAGTGAGCCACGGAGCACATCGGCGTACACAGCCTCAATGACAAGATCTTCCAGCTGCCGCACGTTGTGCAGGGCCAGGGCTTCCAGCAGTACTGCATAAGGGATGCACTGGGGCAGGAAGTCAGGCTGGGGTTTGTGGGGTTCCAGGCAGGGAAGCGCTTCCCCAAATCGCCCTCCCCTCCTGCCCCCAGGCCCATAGGCTGCCTCTCTTGGTCTAGAACCCTTTCTTCTATGAGGCTAGTTTAAGTCACAATAAATAAAAGTACCCCTTCTCAGAAATAGCACCATAAGAATGGTCCTAAAAAATACAAGGCTGACCCCTACACACACCCATATACTCCATTAACATATATCTCTTGGCCAAGATCAGCCCAACATGGACAGAAAAGTCTGGAGGTGCCACATTTGGTGTGCCATCTACACTCCTGGTTGTTTTTTTGTATGTGTTTTATTTTTTTTTTTTGTTGTTTTTTTTTCTTTTTGAGACAGAGCTAGCAGCTCAGGCTAGCCTTGAGCTCACTCTGTAGCCCAATGTAGTCTCAAACTCACAACCATCTGGGCTGGCCAAATAGCTTAGCAGATTAAAGAGCCTACAAGCAGGCACAAGGGCCTGCCACGCCTGCCCCGCCCGCAGGGTACACTGAGATGGCAGTTGAGACTGGGTGTAGTAGTGTCACCTATAATCCTAGCACTTGGGAGGCTGTAAACAGGAGAATCACTACAAGTCCAATCTAGTAGTGAGACCCTGAAGACCATGTAGATCCTTTCCTAAAATACAGGGAAACAAAAAACAACTCACGGGCTGGTGAGATGGCTCAGTGGTCTAAAGCACCTACTTAGAACAAACTAAAAGCACAGGGACGGCGGTTCAATTCCCCAGCCCCACATGCCAGCCAGCACCGCCCCCTGGTGGGCTGAGCTGCCCCCCACACACAAATAAATAAAATTTAAAAACAACAACAACAACAACAACAACAAAAAAAACAACTCACAACGATCCTCCTGCTTCAGCCTCCTGAGTGCAGGGATTATAGGCATGCGCCATCATGTTTACCTGTGGCACTTCTGTTGATGCAGCCCCCACAGACAATGGCATGATTTCCATAAAATCACAAAAATGACTCAACAGCCCAGACGACAGTTGACAAAACACAGTAATACAGAGGTGCCTCTGTCTTCTATAGCTCTAATTCAAACAGAGAGAAGCCTGCACTCCATCAGGAGAGAGCCCTGCTCCCAGCCCAAGGCTCTGCTGGCTTGGAACTAGCTATCTGGCAGAGGCAGGCTGTTGTTCAACAGCACATGATCAACATACTAGTTGCTATTTTGATCAAAAATGCAAAAGGTGGGCTGGTGAGATGGCTCAGTGCTCTAAAGCACCTACTTAGAACAAGCTAAGCAAAGCACAGGGACCACGGTTCAATCCCCAGCACCACATGCCAGCCAGCCCCGCCCTCTGGTGGGCTGAGCTGGCCACACACACACACACACACACACACTAAATAAATAAATAAATAAATAAATTTTTTTTTTTAATGAAAAAGGTGGTTACTTAGATCTTAAGCTGAAACATAAAACAGGAAACTAAGAGTATTTGCCCTCAATAGCTTCAGTAATGGAGCTGAGCTAAGACCTTGGAGGGGAGACTAGAGAAGCAGCAGGACATGCTAAAAGATGTGCTAAACCTCTTGGGCTTTGGACGGGGCCGACTGTCACTCACCTTGACTTTGGCGGCAAGGGTGACAACCGAGAGGTGTCGCAACTTGTTCTTCTGAGCCTCTGTGAGTGGGGGAAGATTCCTGGCTTCAGCTAAGGAGAAAAGACGAAGTGTAGGGAATCAACATTCAGTTTTGGAGGAAGCCTTAGATTCTGTGGGCTGCATTGTCTTTTCCATGTCATGGCAGGTTGTGAATCTATACATCCAGGATATCTGGGGCATTAAAGTAACTTTTTTTGTGTGGTACTGGGAATTGAACCAAGGGCCTTCACACTGGGCTACATCCTTAGGCCTCGTTTTAAATTTTGAGACAGGGGCTCATTAAGTCTGCCAGGCTGGGCTCTAGCTTGGGATCTTTCTGTCTCAGCTTCTCACAGTGCTGGGATCCACACATGTGCACCACAAGCCAGGGCTCCCAGGAATGCCAAATCCCTCCAGAAATTGCCTTTCTCTCATCTCCATTGCTCCAAAGCTCAAGCCCTTCTAGTTACCTAAGTAGTCAGCATAGGTTCCATAAGCGAAGACAGTGAGCAGCCGGAACGTAGAAGCAAAATCACTCTCAGCCAGCTGCAACGTATGAGGGAAGAGAATTGACAGGAAGGGATGCCCTCACCACCCTCCCAGCCCACCCTGCCAGCTCCTCATCCTTCCCAGCCATGTCACCTCTCCTGGCTGGTCAAGACACATGCTCTGCCCCTTACTCTCCCTGTGGGAAGGGCTCGTTTTCACCCCCAAACCTTCACTACAGTCTCCCAATCCACAGACTCCTCTCCCTCCATTCACCTTCCAATCCCTACCAATCCATCTCAGGGTTGAGAGCACTCAGTGCTCAGAACCTGCCAGACTTGCACACTGGTGGCTCTCAGTGCACTACTTCTCAGTCTGAACTGTAGTATTTCCCATTTCACCAGACTACCGCCTCAGCCTCTCCCTCGACACAACTGGGTTGATGGCCTCTTCTGCTGGCCCACCTCAGGAAGGGGTGGTCTGATACACCTAGGACAGCCCACCAGTGTCTCCTCTCCTCCTGCTATGTGTCATTCATTATGGCACTTAATTTCCACAGGGTTTGTTTTTTTTTGAGAAACAAATGTCAATGAGATAGCTTCAAAGCTGATTAATAGGACATTTTCAATAATTACTACACTGTACATTGTTATCTTCTTCACAGAAAGTTCTTACCTAAGAATGTCTTTACCTTCAACAAGATTATAGACACGATCTCTGGTATCCCACTAGGACTTAGCAGAGCTACACATTGTTGGTGCTCTCAGTAGAAACTTTTTAAATAAATAACTTACAGATCTATAACCATTCCTATTACCTCTGACTGGAATGTAAGCTACTGAAGACTGTGTCTCATGTCTTGCACTTTACTGTTATGCCCAGACTACTGGCAGAGTACTAAACAAGCACCATTGAGAAGTGCTTCTTTGACCACATGTAGTGGCACATAGCTGTAGTTCTGGCTACTTGGAAGGTGGAGGCAGATCAAACGTTTAAGCTAGGGGAAGTGCTTCTTTTTTTTCACCTTGACATTTCCTTAGCTCTACTACAGATGAAAGCAGGGATCAGATGGCCAGAGTCCTGACCACACCAGAGTGATACAAAAGGCTAAATCTATCAATTCAATCACAAGCTCTCAAACCTTTGCTCAGTTTAACCATATACCATTGCCACAGTATTTAAGGACAGGGGCTGATGCCACAAGTCTTAACGTCCCACCTGCTTTATACTTTCCATTGTCACGTCTGTGTGAACTTTCTGCTGTGTTTCTAGCAGCTTGCTATATGTCTTTGGGAAAAATGTAACTTTTCCCTACCTTATCTTAATGGTTATATGCTGCCCAAGAGAAAAGAACAGCGATGCTAATTTAACATGTTCACTCCTTCCATTTGTACCAAACTTTACACTTGCCCATACTCTTACCTGATTCCTACAGTAAGAGGGGCAGTAACTTTTTCTTTTTGTGGTGCTGTGGTTTAAACCCAATACCTTACACATGGTAAATAAGCACTATTGCTGAGTTACACACCCAGCACTCATCTTTTCACCTCCATTTTCAAGAGAAAACTAAAACCCTAAAATAAATGTGTCCTGATTAAAGTGACATGATTAGGTCTCACACTAGAACTCTGGTCAGCTTTTCTGAATGACATGAGTTTTACTTAATGAAAAGTATTAAGTTTCACCTGCTTGTTTATATTGCAATTTATCAGTTAATCATTACAACAGCCTTTGTTCAACTGAAGAGCTACCTCCTTGCAAAATGAGCCCCCACCCCCAAACAAAACTTTTGCCCTGCACTTCCCTGTGGGCTCCCAGGGCCAGCAACCCACCTCTCTAACATTGGGCATATCCAGCAGTTCCCCAAACACGTAGACACCAGGGGCCTCCAGCACCTGGTGAATGAGTGTGGCCAGCGCCGCCCCCTTGGCCGACTTGGCCAGGAGCAGAAACTGCTCCTGATTCTGCCCTGTCACCTTCACCTCCGCACTCATGGCTGTACTGAGCCAGGGGGACCTGGGCTCAGGTTGACTGGAGCTGCAAGAAAGAGGACGTGAAGCTAGGAGCCCCTCAACACTGGCAGGCAGGGAAGGCAAGGGCGTGGGGCTGGGCCATGGCGGCGCGTGTGCAGTGAGGTCAGAGACGAGCGGTCTACAACGTGGATCTACAAATCCGAAAGTCAGCCACTTCATGGCTGCCACGCCCACCCCCCCACCCGGGCCCTCACCCTTGGGCCTAATCCCAACCCCACCACCTGCACCCCTCTGAACTCCAAGGCGCGGGATGCAGCGAGGGAAGGGATGTCATAACGTGCCCAATAACGTGCCCACCCCAACCACGACGCACCCTCAGCTGCCACCCGTCCCCCGCACGTGCCCCCAACCACGTGACCTCGCCCCCAGGATCTGCGCACGCGGCTCCGCCCCCTCCCTTAAAGAGGCCGTCCAGAGATCGTCCGCTCCCGCCGATTGCCCCGCAGTACCCTGAGCCACACTCTGCGGGCCGCTACCTGGAAGCTTCGTCTTCCAGGGTACCAGGAGAGGCGGCCGCTCCGTCACCTCCGGCAGCTGTTCCGAGCCTTTCCTGCCACCTCCCTGCCGGGCCGCTCTAGGCACTAGTCTCGATGGCCAGCTTCCGGATGCACTTCCGCTCTTACGAAGCACTTCCGGGCGGGACGTACACCACTTCCTCCTCCGACCTCTGAGCCTCGGGGGAGGGCATAGGCTTTCTGCTTTATGGATTGGTTCTTGGGAAGGAAAGGCGGTGGGGGGGGAGGATTTTATTTTCCTCTGCTTTGTTACAATAAAACTTTAGTGGTAGAGTGCCAGCAACTACCCACAGTGGCTTCCCAGATCTTGGGGTCGTAGGCGAGACTGCAGATTAGGGTGGCGCGAGCTCCCTGGGAGGAAAGCCATAGTGGAAGGAGAGATAGAGGGAAAAAATGAAACGATGAATGAGAGAGGAAAGAAACAATGATCAATAATAGAGGTTTAGACGGGAGAGTTCAGCCCTGACCTTTTTGAGGAGGAGGAGAAACGTTTGAAGAGTAAAAGATGTAATATTTAGTGGGTATTGAATGTTTAATAGGACACGATTTTATCCCGTTGAATCCTCAAAATTGTCCTACATCCCCAGTGTAACTCCTTTGGCCACCACAGTAACCACTTGTGCTGAATTCAAACTTCCTGTAATCTCTGCTCTTGGGGAAGAAAAGACCCTAAATAGAAATGGAGGTTTATGAAAGTCCTGATATTTACCTGGAACCTAGGTGTTTTATTTAGTGCAAGGGGGTGGTCTAAGGAAATATAGATATAAAACAAAAGCCTAATGTCCCAAGGGAGCAGGGAGCAATAGACAGAGCCCAAGAAGAGCTGCTGTCTCTCACTTGTAAATCCCAGAAAGCTGGGATTCAATGCTGCAGATAACAGCTTCTCCTTCTGGTGCCCTGTTCTTTGATCCCTTCTTTGAGATGTTATCAGCTAGCATTTGTGTGGACCTAGTGTTAGGCAAATGGTGGAAGTCAATAGAGACAGTAGTTTATATTCACTTAAGTAATTATACGTGAGAGTTGGCAAGCGCTTTGGGAATTATGGCGATGGTGGATATCTGAGATAATCTACTGGAAATCTCTTGGGTCGACAGCTCTTGGATCCCCATTTTGAACAGTGGTAGTGTCTTGGATTACTTTTCTGAAAGAAGTAATCCTTTCTATGACAGAACATGTAATAACAAAGTGGTCAAAAAGCAGAGGCTAACATTAGAACATTTGAATCAGATGGTTGGAATTGAGTACATCCTTTTACATGCTCAAGAACCAATTCTTTTCATCATTGGAAAGCAGCAGCAGCAATCCCCTGCTCAAGTTATCCCTCTTTTTTTTTTTTTTTGGAGGCTCGAAATGCCTTTAGGGCATTTCTGGTTTGCAGTGACTGCCTGGGTTGGAACCCCAGAAGCTTGAGCTTGAGGGCTTTGTTTAAGCAGGCACTTAAACAACTGAGCTACTGGGCAGGTCCCCAAGTTATCCCTCTTGTTGATTACTATATCATTGCTGGGGTGATTTACCAGGCACCAGACTTGGGATCAGTTATAAACTCCAGAGTGCTTACTGCAATGTATGGCATTCAGTCAGCTTTTGATGAAGCTATGTCTTATTGTCGATAATCATCCCTCCAAAGGATATTGGTGGCATTTCAAAGATCACGAAGAACCAGATAAAGTCAAACTGAAAGCTAAAAGAAAAGAAGAACCAAGCTCTATTTTTCAGAGACAGCATATGGATGCTTTACTTGTAGAACTTAGACAAAAATTTCTACCTAAATTTGTTCAGCAAAAATCTGGGGAAAAGCCTGTCCCTGTGGATCAGACAAAGAAAGAGGCAGAACCTATACCAGAAACTGTAAAATCTGAAGAGAAAGAGACCACAAAGAATGTCCAACAGACATTGAACACTAAACGCCCACCTGAGAAAAGGATAAGGCTTCAAAAGAAAAACTTGCAAGACTCTATTTTCAATTATTATACCTCAGTATTGTTGTGGAATTTTTCAGATTTAAAGCCCTTTTTCTTTTTTTTTTTAATTAATGTATTTATTTATTGTGTGTGTGTGGTCAGCTCAGCCCACCAGGGGGCGGGGCAGGCTGGCATGTGGTGCTGGGGGATTGAACCGTGGTCCTTGTGCTTTGCTTAGCTTAGCTTGTTTTAAGTAGGTGCTTTAGACCACTGAGCCATCTCACCAGCCCTAAAGCCCTTTTTCATAACCCTCTTATTTGTATGGAATGTGGTTATTCTTTAAGGTTGTTTCCATCATGCTGTGTGAATATTTCTTATGTTTCTTTTGTAATGTTTCCTCTATTGGATTTGAGAAGCTTACTTACATGTGTATCTGTATTACATTTAAAGACAAAAATAAAAGTATTTGTAAATAAAAGAAAAAGCAATTATACATATACCTTAGCCTGCCTTTAGCCCTCAATAAATGTGAGATGCTTCTGTGGCTCTGGGCTCACTTGGAGAGAGACTAATCTCAGTGAGACCTCTGAAGTTATATTCATCAGGTCTTCTCGTCATCTCTTTCAGCACCAACTCAACAAACAACAGGTCTCACTACACAGATCAGATTTGTAGTGATTCTGTTTTCAGCTTCCCAAGCACTGGAATTACAGAAGTGCGCCACCATGCCCAGTCTCAATCCCTGTCTGAGCACGCCCCATAGGCATGGCCAGCACAGCACAATGGGGATTGAACCTTTGACCCCTTCATCTGGCTAAGGAGGTGCTTTAATCCACTGAGCTATCTGGCTGGCCCTTGGAACCTAGGTGTTTTAAAAGTCAAAATCATCTTTCCATTTCACCATAATACTGGTTTTTTGTTTTGTTTTGGTTTGGGTTTTTTGTATTTCAGGGAAAAGTCTACAGGGTGTTCAGGGTCTCACTACTAGATCAGACTCATAGTGATCCGCCTGTTTACAGCCTTCCAAGAGCTGGGATTACAGGCGTGCACCACCATGCCCAGTCTCAATTGCCATCTTCTCAGTGCGCTCCCCTGGGGGGGGGGGGGCAGGGCCGGCACAGCAGACTGGGGATGAACCCCCAGCCCTTGTGCCTGCTTGCACGCGCTTTAATCCGCTAAGCTATTTGGCCAGCCCTTGTATTATTATTTTGTGTATTGTGACCTGTTACATCCCATTAAGCTACAGTCCAATCAATTTTTTTTTTTTTGAGATAGGGTTTCACTCTGTAATTCAAGTTGGCTTTGAACTTGAAGTGACCCTATATCAACCTCCTAAGTGCTAGGATTATAAGCATATGTCACCATGCCCCGCAGTCCAGTAATTCTTAAAACAGATGGGGAGTCCATCTCAGTGACAGTGCTGGCCTGGGTACCATCCACAGCACCATAAAACAAAACTAATACATTTCCTGTCAGGCTTCATTTGCAGGTCAAATTTTGGAAGCCTCTAGTAAGCACTAAACTAACAGAGTTCCTTAATTTATTTGATGCTCCAAACAATCTAGTTATTATCTCCATTTTCATCTTTTATTAACAATGGTTGATATATTATCTGTTTTTGTCATCAAATCTGTTGGTCAGATTAATAGATATAGATATGTAACATTGGGCATATGGCTGCATACTAGTGCTTGCTTTCAAGATACCACCATTTTCTAGAACAAATCAAACCCCAGGCAGGTTAAGTAACTTGCTACCAATGTGATGTGGAAGAAGTGGAAAAAAAGGAAAGATGAAGAGTAAAACAGGGCTGAAGGGCTTTATAGGAGAGTTTATAGTCCAAGATCCTTGGCTTGTGATGGAAAATAAGTAGAAAGGAGAAAAATGGAGAAGTAAATGGAAAAGATGAACCAAACTGAGAAGAATCAACATCATAATAAAATAGTCAAAGTTTAAAGGAACAAAAAGATTAATGAGTCGAAGTGTCTTGGGTACCTTTCTCTCAACTCTGGGACAAAATACCCAACACCCAAAATTAAGAAAGTGAAGATTTATTTAGGGAAGTTTCCTTTTTTTTTTTTTCTTTCCAGAACTGGGGATTGAACTCAGGCCCTTGCACTCGCCAGGGAAGTGCTTATTCTACTGAGCCAATCTCCCTGGCCCCAAGGAAGTTTCAATCCATACTCCGATGGCTCCAAGGCAGATTGGTACATGGCAGAGGGCAGCAGTTCCTGGCACAGAAAACAGCCAAGAGCAAAGGAAGGAGCTGTGGCTACAGCTTCAAGCAAGCCTCTCGCTCTTCCTTCAAGGCTGACTGCAAAGACTGGAGCTCCTCCAAGGAAGCAGCACTCTGCCTCTTTCCTCAGTTCCCTTTTATATCCTTTAAATGCTGAGTCACTTTAGGGTAGGCCCTCTGCCAGCTCCATTGTGGAACAGCATTTAGCTGAACTTTTAATTTCTCAAGTTGAGCGCTGGCCCAGGCCCCTGGGATGCACTAAGACAAAACTGAGACTGGGGTGTGGTGTCACGGGCCTGTAATCCCAGTGCTTGGGAGGCTGAAAACAGGAGGATCAATAGTCTGATCTGTGTAGTGAGACCCTGGACCCTGTAATAAATGCATTAAAAAAAAAAGAATAGACTCAAATTGATACAATGTATCAACCACTACACCAATCCTGTTTTGTTTTGGTCATTCTGTGCAGTTCAGGCTAGGCTTGAGCTCACTTTGTAGCCCAGGCTGGTCTTGAACTCACAACAATCCTCTTGCCTCAGCATCACAAGTGCTGGGATTACAGGCTTGTCACCATACCTGGCCAAGTTTATAATTTTTACTGTGATACCAAAATTATCT